CCACTGGGTGCCGGGACATCCGGACAGAGACCTCATGAATGGAAATCGGAACAACAGGTGAGCACCTTAGACTGATAGCCAAGCGTTACCGCACTCACCTAATGTTCATTTGCTGCACTTAATTGTGGTTTGTAGACACTTTGTAGTGCTTCATACAAGGTTGACCCCATTACTGAGCATTTTGGAATTTCGGGGTGTTAAATTAATCTAAATTGGCAACATAGGTGTTAAGTAAGCTGCCAGACTACCATGAGAACAGGCGCTTAAGTGATTAAGCTCGAAAACTCAATTCAAAGTCTTATGTCCACCTGCAGCAAACAGGCACTGGGGTGTCCGCTTCTCACGTGCAGCTTTCCGGTCAGTTTTGCTCTTCTGGGTGTGTGTACATGCCACAGACCAGTCTCACGGGTTTCTTTAATGGTGTATGTCATTTCTGGCGCCCGTCAAAAGCAGGTGCTGATCCGTCAGGTGTGCCTGAACCCTACACTGACGTAGGCAGGTGTGTGTGAGTGTGAAGGGCAGCCTTCTGCACCAGCTGCTGCTATAGTTACTCTGACTGTTGAATAATGTTCCCAACTGCTCCCTGTGTTAAATACAAATTAGCTGCGCATGGCAGGACACCACAATTTACTTTGTTACCAGGGGACACAATTTGTGAGTCACAGTTTGTATATTATTGATATTTTTGAACTAACTGTGGACTGGGAGGTGAAAAATCGGCCACTCTACTTCATTCTTCACCCTCTTTTCACTGTGAGCACAAAGCAAAAATTCCTTCTTCAGTGATGAGGCTTTGGTGACTTTTGTATTTTTTTGCATTAGAAATTGAATACATTTGGATCATAAACATTTACTCAGACAAAACGAGACATTTGTAGACATCACCTTAAGCTTTAATTAATTCTGTATCTGGTTTAAAGCTCCAAAAAATATTTCCAATATTGAAAATTCTGTACGTTTTCTTGACTATTGATTTAAATGTTTAATTTTTACAGTGTCTAAAAACCTGATAGAAAGACCTGTCACATTCTTCCAGAGCTCACAGTGCCATTTTAAAAAAAGCTTTAGGTTGTCTGACTAACAGCCCAAAAGCAGTGTCTACTCACAGTTGGGAAGCTGGAAGCAGAGAAATTTGGTCATTTAAAAAAAAAAAAAAGATTTGACTTGAAAAACTACTTGATGATTAATCAGTTATCACAGTAGTTGCTGATTATTTACTTGTCAGCTGGCAACCAGTTAAACAACTCATCAGTTTAGCTTTAACCAGGTTAATTTAGTGCTTCATTCTGTATATTTAAATCAAACTGTTACAATCCAAGACTTTTTTTGCCTAGATCATTTCAGCAAAGTAATAATTTTAGATGTGTTGTGCCTCGTTTTAGTAACATTGCCTTGAGAAACAACATGCCATATGTGGTATTTTGATAACAGGTGGGTGTTGAAGAGAATTATGTTTGAAGTTTACAGGTTTAAAATGTATATTAGTTAACCTTATAAAAGGTGGAGAGTGCACAAGGTTACACTGACATTTGTTTTCCTATTACAGTAAGCATTACACACTTGTAGTCTCCAGCAGGCCTGTACAAGATTACATCAGTGAAGTACTCTTTGAAAGTGTGTGGGCTGAATGTCGGCCCTGTGTGGGCTGCTACGGTGCATTTGTATGATGACACAGCCTGATCAGTGATCGTTAATCTCTCCAGTGGTGCGCACTTCAGTGAAGTTTTGTGTGTTTGGGTCATCAGTGGTGCAGAAGCTGTTCTTGATCCTACGCCTAGTTGACGGTGTTTCCCATAATTCACCCCCCCCCCCCCAAAAAAAAAATTTCCAACATTAGATTCTTATTGTTGCCACTTATTTTTCTTTACCTTTTATTAGTTTTTTTATGTAAATGTTAAAACTGATTTAAAATAAAAGTCTGTTTCTGTCACCAGAGCTTGGAGGTAAATGAGACAAATCGGTGTGCACCTGCCTTTCCTCCTCCTGTCAGGATGCCTTTAGTTGCCATGGAGAACCCATAGCACCATGGGTGCCATTGCCATGGAAACAGCACAGGGGAGGAAGCAACCTGGGGATGCATTAGCAGAAACAGTGTTTTTCTGAATGATGCTTCCGCATGGCAGATTCTGGGTCAGACTTGGACCCTGACAGGAACTGAAACAGTTGAATATTTTACACCTACTGCTGCTCTGAAGCACTGATTTCAAGGCTACATTCATCATTACCACCTTTTTCTTTACACTTTCATTCAACATTACAGCATAGCACACCTACTTTTACAGCTGGAGCTCTGTCTGTATGTGTAGACTTTGTCATGTTGGTCATTTTGTGTGTGTGTGTGGATCCTCTGAGTCATAGTTGTGGAAATTGTGTGGTTGTGTGCTTTTGTCACCGAGTACTTTCCAGTTTGGCATGTATGAAAATTGGTGTCAAATTTGCATGGCGTGTTGGCCGCCTACTACTGCTTCTACTGGCACAGGTCATGTCAATCAGGAGAAATGTGTGACCGCTGAGCTGGTCTTTATTTAAAATGTCACCCCACTCTGCATCCTTGTATGAGGTCATTATCAGTCTGACGTGGGAGAGACAAAAACAGTACTGGCTCGATTGTTTCAGGTTTGTCAGTTTAATATGGGGAAATCTTTAACGTCTCTGATTATTTTCAGCTCCAGCACCCACCGTGTGTTCTTTCCTCCTTATTAACCACTTCCTTCCTCCAGTCTGTCTTCTTTTCAAAGCACCTAGCTTGTTTGAAAGGGTTTATCACATTTCATGATTACTGGCTTGGACTTTGTTTTAGCTGGTGGTCCAGAATTAAATAAGTACTGAGGGTAAATGGCAAAGGTGCCAGGTTGCCAGAGCACCAAGAAAGACACTACAAACGTTGCTGCTCCCAGAAAGAAATCATGAACAGTGATGAATTTCAGTGTCTTTAGTCTCTACCAGCTCCTGTCAGTGTGCGCTGTAAACAACTGTTTACATTTTTTTTTTTTTTCTACTTATGTTGTTGAAGGAGCCGTTGAAGCCGAAGCCCAAGCCCTGTTTTCACCGCCACGCCGCCCTGGCTATGGCAGCATTGGGAAGCCCATCAAGCTTCTGGCCAACTGCTTCCAGGTGGAAATCCCCAAAATCGATGTCTACCTGTATGAGGTCGACATCAAGCCCGATAAATGTCCTCGCAGAGTCAACAGGTAAGACGAAAAGCTGAAAGTGCCCTAAGCCTTGAGCTGGTTTTATATGATTATCTGTCTTAGCCAAGCAGAAGTAATAGAACTGCCTCCACTGAATACGGCTAAACACTTCATTTTCTTACATTTTTCTTTGTAGTAGTAATATGATCTCTTGCTCTATGTCATGGTGGTCTTACCAGGGAGGTGGTGGATTCCATGGTTCAGCATTTCAAGGTGACTATTTTCGGGGATCATCTGCCAGTTTATGATGGGAAGAAAAGCCTCTACACTGCCAACCCACTTCCTGTCGCCACTGCTGGGGTAAGGCACTATGCTAAAGTTTTGATGTTGTTTTGTATCATCTGGATCTGAGAATAGAATTGTACATAAAAACACTGTTATACCAAAGTTAAACTAGTATTCAGCAGGGGCACATTCTTTTATGTCAAATATATAAGCCCCTGAGTTCCTCCTCAGGTCGATTTGGACGTCACTCTGCCAGGTGAAGGTGGGAAGGACCGGCCATTTAAAGTCACCATTAGATTTGTGTCGTTAGTCAGCTGGCATGTGCTGCATGAAGTCTTGACTGGACACAGCGCACCCGAACCACTGGACCTTGAGAAACCCCTCAGCACTAACCCTGTTCACGCTGTGGATGTCGTTCTTCGACACCTGCCATCCATGAAGTGAGTTTGCTCACTTGCACATCTGCAATTGTTTTGCGCATGGACACCTTTTTATACTGAAAAGATAGACAGAGTACCTCATTCATCCCCACAGGGAGATTGTTACAAATTAACAGAAGCAAACAAGAACAATAAACATGAAATCATATAGAGATCAGTCCAGTGTAGTTAAATATTTGAGAAAATCACTTGTTTCTAAGATTTTGGTTTTGTTAAAATTCTTTGCAAAAATTATGACTGTTACCTGAAAATAACTAAGGGTGATGTTTGCTTTATATGCAGTAGATTACCTTTACCGTGTTACAGTGTGGAGGGAAATGGATTGATGAATTCCAACCACAATGTTGTCACGTGTTGCAGCAGGAGCAATACCCAAGGTGGATATATTTTTAGGATGCAAAATGGCCCAAGTGGGATTTGAATTCAGCATGGACATATGGATTAAAAGCATCTTTTCTTGTACTCCACCTCGGGATGTGTCGTTTGGTGAATCCATTAAGCACGTAACCTTTTAGTAACGTGAACAAAACCTTTTAAACCTGCTGTACATTCAGACCTGTGACTCGGCCTGTGCTTAACATTCAGCTTGGGTAGAGTTTTGGTTTTGTGCTTTCCTAACCTTTGTGTCACTTACTAGGTACACCCCTGTCGGGCGGTCCTTCTTCTCCTCCCCTGAGGGCTACGACCATCCACTAGGTGGAGGAAGAGAGGTTTGGTTTGGTTTCCATCAGTCAGTACGACCAGCCATGTGGAAAATGATGCTCAACATAGATGGTGAGTAAACGCAGTCAAATCAGAGACAGTTAAACAAGCTTATTCCCTTTGGTGCCAAAAGTTACATTAGAAAATTAATGCTATTAAAGTGTCTGTACACTAAACATAGAGCTACAGCCAGTGGTCAGTTAGTTCTGCATAAGGACTGGAAACGTGGAGACGGCTAGCCTGGCTCTGTCTAAAGGAAACAAACCTCCAGCACTGCTAGAGCTCATGACAGACAGCGGGTTGGGGCTGTAGTGGAGTTCTGTTTTCAGCCTTGATGCTAAGCTAACCGGTCACTAGCTGTAGCTTCATATTTAACTAGGGGTGCACAGAAATTTCGGCCACCGAAAATTTTCGGCCGAAAAGGCCATTTTTATTTCTGGCCGGAATAAAAAAAAAAACACGCCGAAAATGCCCCGCCC